CACTTTTTATAGGAAAATAATGTGCAAAAAATTGGGCCAAATTTGGCCAATAACGACATAGGTTAGTATGTCGATTTTTATTTTTGTGGGTCGACAATTTTCAGTGGAATTTCCTAATTTCCTTTAATCTGGCACCCTAAGACTAAACACATTGCAAGAGTTCCCTTTTGATTGCAAAATAAGGTGGAAAAAATTGGGCCAAATTTGGCCAATAACGACAGAGGTTACTATGTCGATTTTTATTTTGAGGATCGAAAATATTCACGTGGAATTTCCTATTATCTTTAATATGTGACACCCTAGGCCTAAACACATTGTAAGAGTCCACTTTTTATAGGAAAATAAGGTGCAAAAATATTGGGCAAAATTTGGCGAAAACGACATAGGTTAGTATGTCGAATTTAATTTTCAGAATCGAACATTTTCACGTGGAATTTCCTAATTTCCTTTAATGTGGCACCCTAAGACTAAACACATTGCAAGAGTTCACTTTTTATATGAAAGAAGGTGCAAAAAATTGTGCCAAATTTGGCCAATAACGACATAGGTTAGTATGTCGATTTTTATTTTTGTGGGTCAAAATTTTCAAGTGGAATTTCCTAATTGCCTTTAATGTGGCACCCTAAGACTAAACACATTGCAAGAGTTCCCTTTTGATTGCAAAATAAGGTGGAAAAAATTGGGCCAAATTTGGCCCATAACGACAGAGGTTACTATGTCGATTTTTATTTTGAGGATCGAAAATATTCACGTGGAATTTCCTATTATCTTTAATATGTGACACCCTAGGCCTAAACACATTGTAAGAGTCCACTTTTTATAGGAAAATAAGGTGCAAAAATATTGGGCAAAATTTGGCGAAAACGACATAGGTTAGTATGTCGAATTTAATTTTCAGAATCGAACATTTTCACGTGGAATTTCCTAATTTCCTTTAATATGTGGAACCCTAAGCCTAAACACATTGCAAGAGTTCCTTTTTGGTAGCAAAATAAGGTGAAAAAAGTGGGCCAAATTTGGCCAAAACGACATAGGTTAGTATGTCGATTTTTATTTTTGTGGGTCGAAAATTTTAAATGGAATTTCCTATTTTCCTTTAATATGTGGCACCCTAGGCCTAAACACATTGCAAGAGTTCCTTTTTGGTAGCAAAATAAGGTGAAAAAAGTGGGCCAAATTTGGCCAAAACGACATAGGTTAGTATGTCGATTTTTATTTTTGTGGGTCGACAATTTTAAGTGGAATTTTCTTTAATGTGGCACCCTAAGACTAAACACATTGCACGAGTTCTCATTTGATAGCAAAATAAGTTGCAAAACATTGGGTCAAATTTCGCCAATACATAAGTAAAAAAACACCCAGCTCTGTCTTTCTGTCACTCTGTGACTGTGATTAACGCTTCGCGGATTGGTTGAAGTGCATCACGTGACCGCGAGCAAACAGCCAACCAGTGGTGCGCCCCTCCCAAACATGTACGCCCCCGGATTGGTTGAAGTGTGTCACGTGCCCACGAGCAAGAGACGGGTGAGAGTGAGGCAGAGCCGTGCTCCGTCCACTGCTGCCCTGAGGGAGCCCCTTACTCTCCACTGATGGCCGCCTGAGGCTCGCGCTCCCACGGTGCGCTCCCAGCAACGGCTGGCGGGGCCGTTTGTGAGGGGGCCGGGAGAGCCGAGGGAGCCGACGGAGGAAGCCGATGCAGCCGAGGGGGCTGGGTGAGCCGACACAGCCGGGTGGGCCAACGGAGCCGGGTGGGCCGATGGAGTTGGATGGGCCGCCGTAGGCTGTGTTGTTTGGGGGGTGCCATAGGCGCCACCCAACAACATAGTAACGACATAGGTTACTATGTCGATTATAATTTTTGTGGGTCGAAATTTTTACATGGAATTTCCTAATTTCCTTTCATATGTGGCACCCTAAGCCTAAACACATTGCAATAGACCACTTTTAGTAGCAAAATAAGGTGAAAAAAGTGGGCCAAATTTGGGCAATAACGACATAGGTTAGCATGTCGATTTTTATTTTCGTCGATCGAACATTTTCAGTGGAATTTCCTTTAATGTGGCACCCTAAGACTAAACACATTGCAATAGTTCCCTTTTGATAGTAAAATAACTTGGAAAAAATTTGGCAAAATTTTGCCAAAACGACATAGGTTAGTATGTCGATTTTTATTTTGAGGATCGAAAATTTTCACGTGGAATTTCCTATTTTCCTTTAATATGTGGCACCCTAGGCCTAAACACATTGCAAAAGTTCACTTTTTATAGGAAAATAATGTGCAAAAAATTGGGCCAAATTTGGCCAATAACGACATAGGTTAGTATGTCGATTTTTATTTTTGTGGGTCGAAAATTTTGAGTGGAATTTCCTAATTTCCTTTAATGTGGCACCCTAAGACTAAACACATTGCAAGAGTTCACTTTTTATATAAAAGAAGGTGCAAAAAATTGTGCCAAATTTGGCCAATAACGACATAGGTTAGTATGTCGATTTTTATTTTTGTGGGTCAAAATTTTCAAGTGGAATTTCCTAATTGCCTTTAATGTGGCACCCTAAGACTAAACACATTGCAAGAGTTCCCTTTTGATTGCAAAATAAGGTGGAAAAAATTGGGCCAAATTTGGCCAATAACGACCAAAGGTTACTATGTCGATTTTTATTTTGAGGATCGAAAATATTCACGTGGAATTTCCTATTATCTTTAATATGTGACACCCTAGGCCTAAACACATTGTAAGAGTCCACTTTTTATAGGAAAATAAGGTGCAAAAATTTTGGGCAAAATTTGGCGAAAACGACATATGTCGAATTTAATTTTCTGAATCGAAAATTTTTCACGTGGATTTTCCTAATTTCCTTTAATATGTGGAACCCTAAGCCTAAACACATTGCAAGAGTTCCTTTTTGGTAGCAAAATAAGGTGAAAAAGTGGGCCAAATTTGGCCAAAACGACATAGGTTAGTATGTCGATTTTTTTTTTGTGGGTCGAAAATTTTAAATGGAATTTCCTATTTTCCTTTAATATGTGGCACCCTAGGCCTAAACACATTGCAATAGTTCACTTTTGGTAGCAAAATAAGGTGAAAAAAATTGGGCCAAATTTGGCCAATAACGACATAGGTTAGTATGTCGAATTTTATTTTTGTGGGTCGACAATTTTAAGTGGAATTTTCTTTAATGTGGCACCCTAAGACTAAACACATTGCACGAGTTCCCATTTGATAGCAAAATAAGTTGCAAAACATTGGGTCAAATTTCGCCAATACATAAGTAAAAAAACACCCAGCTCTGTCATTCTGTCACTCTGTGACTGTGATTAACGCTTCACGGATTGGTTGAAGTGCATCACGTGACCGCGAGCAAACAGCCAACCAGTGGTGCGCCCCTCCCAAACATGTACGCCCCCGGATTGGTTGAAGTGTGTCACGTGCCCACGAGCAAGAGACGGGTGAGAGTGAGGCAGAGCCGTGCTCCGTCCACTGCTGCCCTGAGGGAGCCCCTTACTCTCCACTGATGGCCGCCTGAGGCTCGCGCTCCCACGGTGCGCTCCCAGCAACGGCTGGCGGGGCCGTTTGTGAGGGGGCCGGGAGAGCCGAGGTAGCCGACGGAGGAAGCCGATGCAGCCGAGGGGGCTGGGTGAGCCGACACAGCCGGGTGGGCCAACGGAGCCGGGTGGGCCGATGGAGTTGGATGGGCCGCCGTAGGCTGTGTTGTTAGGGGGGTGCCATAGGCGCCACCCAACAACATAGTAACGACATAGGTTACTATGTCGATTATAATTTTTGTGGGTCGAAATTTTTACATGGAATTTCCTAATTTCCTTTCATATGTGGCACCCTAAGCCTAAACACATTGCAATAGATCACTTTTAGTAGAAAAATAAGGTGAAAAAAGTGGGCCAAATTTGGCCAATAACGACATAGGTTAGCATGTCGATTTTTATTTTTGTGGGTCGAAAATTTTAAATGGAATTTCCTAATTTCCTTTCATGTGGCACGCTAAGACTAAACACATTGCAATAGTTCACTTTTAGTAGTAAAATAAGGTGAAAAAAGTGGGCCAAATTTGGCCAATAACGACATAGGTTAGTATGTCGATTTTTATTTTTGTGGGTCGAAAATTTTGAGTGGAATTTCCTAATTTCCTTTAATGTGGCACCCTAAGACTAAACACATTGCAAGAGTTCACTTTTTATAAAAAAGAAGGTGCAAAAAATTGTGCCAAATTTGGCCAATAACGACATAGGTTAGTATGTCGATTTTTATTTTTGTGGGTCAAAATTTTCAAGTGGAATTTCCTAATTGCCTTTAATGTGGCACCCTAAGACTAAACACATTGCAAGAGTTCCCTTTTGGTAGCAAAATAAGGTGAAATAAGTGGGCCAAATTTGGCCAATAACGACATAGGTTTGTACGTCGAATTTTTTTGTGGGTTGAAAATTTTAAGTGGAATTTCTTTTAATGTGGCACCCTAAGACTAAACACATTGCAAGTTCCCTTTTGATTGCAAAATAAGGTGGAAAAAATTGGGCCAAATTTGGCTAATAACGACAGAGGTTGCCATGTCGATTTTTATTTTGAGGATTGAAAACTTTCACGTGCAATTTCCTATTTTCCCTCAATATGTGGCACCCTAGGCCTAAACACATTGCAAGAGTTCACTTTTTACAGGAAAATAAGGTGCAAAAAATTGGGCCAAATTTGTCCAATAACGACACAGGTATGGCGATTTCTGTTTTTGCGGGTCGAAATTTTCACGTGGAATTTCTCAATTACCTATGCAGTAATACGAAGCACCCCAAGCCTAAACACACTGCAATTCACTTTTTATTGAACTAAAATATCATGGTTCCTTTTAAAGCAGCATTAAATGAATCAGAGCATGAAGAGATACACGAGGAGACACGTTGTGATCAGCCAGCTGAAAAAAAAAACACTTTCATTTTCTGTTGAGATTTTTCATTCTTCCCACAAGGAAAAGCGACATCGCCAGACAAGAACTTGATGAGTACTTCTTTTATTTTACAACAAAACCGTCATACATTAAACAAATAACAAGTCTGACAAATCCATATAAGTGTAACACCACACAAGGATGTTTGCTACACAAAAACAATGTAAATATTTTAACAAGACAAAATCATTTCCCAAAAAATAATTTCATTAAAATGTCCATGTTTTCACGATAGGAACTACTGAAAACTTACAAGTGTACAATTCAAAAAGCATAAAAAATTACTCTACAATGCTATACTGACTTGATAAATGATGAGTGTGTAACATACTACAAACTTGAGCATAGATTTGGAACAAAGGCGTATAAGGCTGGTTATGCGAAGATTGCGTAAAACTTTTATTTTATTCTACCGCAGGTTGTAATAAAAAGTTGTAGATGCAAGCAGTGTCGCATCCTGCATGGCCACCAAACCACATTCAAAGATCAAATGACAACATGTTGTGTTCAAGTTTAGGGTCAAATTACAATGGCAATGTCATGTTCAAGTTTAGGGTTCCATGGCAAAGAAAATACCATGTTCAAGCTTCAGGTCAAATGAATATGAATATGCCATGTTCAAGTTTAGGGTGAAACAACACCGAGCATCTCATGTTAAAGTTTAGGGTCATCCAATTAATTAAAATGTCATGTTAAAGCTTATGATTAAATAATATTGAACATGTCATGTTTAAGTTTAGTAAACTGCTGCCTTAACTTGGTGTCTTCATGCATTGTACAAAACAGCATCAACACAAACGATTATTTTATTTTTAGGACAAAAGTTGCCATCAAACTTTTGTTTGTACTTTCATTTTAGATTTCAAAACAGATATATAATCCCAGGCCTTTGAAACAACTTCCTGCTTGATAGAAATCACGGATTTTGATTAGATGGCCTCACCAAATGAAGAACTTGTGAATGCCTCAAGTCAAGCTACAATACAATTAAACCTTCACAACTAATAATATTTAGGAAAATCGGAGTGAAAAACAAGCTTCTTTGTTGTAATGCACCGTACAAATGTCATGCATACATTACAAGCTTTATATAATTTCCGTGCTAAACCAGTTTCCTTGTTGTTATTCTGCAAAAACAAAACTGCATTCCCAATGCTTGAGGAAGCCCAATAACAAAATATTAATCACTTCAGGAATTATTCCTATATAACAAAGTTTTGCTTACAAAAATTACGATGAAGCTCGGTAAAATACTCAATGTAAAACGTAAACTGAAACCCTCTAAATATGCTAACTATTTAAAAATAGCTCACAATCAGCATTGCAGCACAAAGTGATTACGTTTTTTTTTGGAAATACATGAAAGCTCTGGTACACTATCAAACCTCAATGCATATCCTACAAGATTTAAAATATTACTACAGGACTACTATTTACAGTACAAAACAAACCATATACATATTACCAGTAGCTACAGTATATTGTAGATAAGACACTGCCGACTTTGACCTGACGTGAACAATGGCGACTCCTAAATGTTTTGGAAGCATTCTCAATGAACGATGCACGAACACACAGAATTAATGTGTGCGGTGGAACGGACACACCGATGTACCAACACACATTTGACATTGCTTATTTTTTTGAAATCAACTACTTTCGAGTTGATGGCCCATTTTACATGCACACCCTAAAAAGAAGTTGTCAAATATAAATTCTCAAGCTCCACTTTGCCGCAGATTTCCAAATTAATTTAAATCCACATGCACGTGCACCACGAGTGTGTCGAGTGGTTAAGATTAAACGAGAGTTGAAAGCTGGTCCTGAAGGCTGTAGTTGAGGAAAGGTTGTTCTAAATTATCAGCTTAGAGGACGAATGTTCATAACCGATGCACAAAGACAATTATGCAAAATATCATTTTGGCATGCACTCCAACTCAAAATCAGTAAGACTGATTGCAAAGTCTAAGAACACCAATAAAGGTGTATTGATTGACATTTGTGAATGTAACATGGAAAATTATGTTGGTGGTATTCAAAACACAACAGTTATTTTCTAATGTATAGTACGAAGCAATATCATTTTTTTTTAATCAGTGCAGATGCTGCTCACTGAACATGCGATCTTTCATGTGACTGACAGAAACTACACAACAAAAACTTAAGAGAACTGCATCCTGCCCACTACCCAAGTATGTTTTCAGGTTTTACATTTTAGGTTTAACCAAGACACAACTTTAATAATTTTTATTGTGTTTTTAAATTCATAATTTTTTCTGACCAAAAGAAAGTTTGGCTTAATTTGTTTAAATTGAGAGGTGACAATATATGCAATGGTTCAAGCTATGCTGACACAGCACCCACCACCTTCCCAGATACAAAAGAATGTGTTCACACACTACTAAGTACTATCAGTTCACAGAGTACGTCTGGATGGTCCCTAAGAATAAGGCCAGCTTGCACAAGACAGATTTAACCACTGTGCACATCAGTTTGAATGTACCTCTTCCCTGCACTGTTGGACACATTTTAACAGACAACAGTGTTATTTTATAACTCAAGAAGATTGCAACTGAAACAAAGGAACTATCACCACCAACTGAAGACGACTCTCTTTTTAAAACCTAGAGCACGAAAGACGACAGTGCTGAATGCAAAGCCTTCATCATTGTAACCGCACAGTTCTGATACACACTTCAACCTACACTTTCACAAAGCTGCAATGCAACTCTACAATAGGTAAAGCCACCACAGCCGATCATTTATTGACTATCCAGTTTTACTGCATCAGCAAGATGGGAAAGACTCATTAGGAGAACTGTTACCAGGGAGACAGGATTTGAAATGAATTTATAGGAAGGCATTGGCAATGTCTTTTTTGCAAGAAATCTGCCACCATTTAAGTGACCCACACTGCACATCAGCACCACATTTACAATGGGTCGGCTCATCAATGTGGCACTCATTTCGACCAAGTGTGTAGCATGACGATAATAAACTTTCACAATTACAGCAATTTAAGTAAAGAAAATGCTGAAATAAAAATTGCGGCAAATGAGCTGCAAGTTGTCCAGACCAAAATAATGGAAATAATAAAAATGCTTATCTCATAGCACTTTTAAAAACACAAGGCTTTGTTCCTCTGACAGTAATGACACTTGCATTTAATAATAATTAAAATAAGATTAAGCCGAATGTGGCAGTTCATACTTTGCAGGGTCAAGGTGTCAAACACAGTCCACATAATTAAATAAACAGGGTGATAAAATGCTATTTATATTAAATATGCCGTAATTATATGAACCCAGAAAGACTTGGCTGCCACCATTAGCTACTTTTTTCAACTTTTGGATTTCCTCATTTCTTAAAATTGAAAATCATTTCCCTAAATGAAATATCAATAGCTTCTAAACCATACAATTCATAGACCAGAAGGCATTACCAATTCAAATGCTCCTGAAATTTGAAGAACGTCTGGGTGAAAACACCTTTGGGCATTGTCACACAATTGTGACCAGACTTCACACGGCGATAGTCACTGCAATCCATTAAACCACTGCCAAAACGTGCCGGAAGAAAATGCCACTAACCAAAATTCAATGCCTTCAAAGTGTGATCAACTCCTTGCTGCGTCACCATGAATAGCCCTCCTCTGTCCATCTCGAGAAACACTACCAATGAACAGTCACGCACTCACCCACCCACACCTCTACACCGCGCATAGTCAACACTTTTTCCCAAAACATTAGCCCCATGTACGCTGCAGCCATCAAACCTCCAACATCGCTCCACCTGCAGCACTGCAGCCTCCACTCAGACGCGCAGGATTTCCAGACAGTTGTTATAGCAGATGGCGATCCAGTCAGGCTGCGTGGAGGCCCATTGCACGTTATTTATCTCTCCCTCAGCCGTGTAGGCCAGGATGGGGTCCTCAATGGCACGGGGCATCTGCTGGATGTCCCAGATCAGCGCTTGGTGGTCATCAGCTGCAGCATGCACAGGGACAAAGATGACAAAGAACATCACTGTTATAATAAAAAATACAAATTTGGGCACTTTTTCACATGCTTGTGTTGCATAAGTGGGTCCACCAAAAAACTTTGGAGACCCGATGAGGTTCCCTACACCCTGAGGATCCCTCTGAGAATTCCTTGGCTAAATCGGAGGACCCCTTAGATCTGAGGACCAGGACAAACTGCCCCATCTGTCGCCCCACCCTCTCAGTGGCCCTGGCCATATGCAGATGTTTGCGAGCATCTTATCAGTTGTGCAGGTGGGTGTTTGTGTGTTCGTGTGCACCTACCAGCTGTGCAGATGTGGCAAGAGGAGTGTGGGGCCCAGGCAATGCCGTTCACACATGCACGGTGGTTGTTTAGTCGTGCCACCGGTGTGCAGGGCACGCGCACGTCCAAAATGATGACCTACACGCACAGCACCAGGACACGCGCATGTTAATGACGACACCACTGCACACTAACTGGAGTGCAAACAGATATTTACAATGCTCGACGTTGTTCAAAGGTTATGGTATTTTGGAACAGCATGAACATGCATGTGGAATGGTTGTACTAAACTCATATATAAAACAAGTGCCTTGTCGATACCATTGAGATGCACATCATGGTGTGAAGTGACAAACATGTCCAGACAGTGACCCACAGTTCGGCTGCTACAAATATTCACACCCATGACCACAAACACGCGTGGAGCACCTCAAGGCCATCCATGGCCATGGTGGCCAGGTAGTTGGGGTCCTGCTTGTTCCAGCAGAGCCGCAGGAGAGGCCGGTGCTGCGGATCCTCGTAGATGATGGTACTGTGCTCCAAGTGGCGCAGGTCGAACATGCGCACGGAGCCATCGGCGCCCACGGACGCAAACATATCGCGCCCACCGCCTGCCCGGCTGAATGCGATGTCATACACCTGCACTCACGCAATGCCGAGCAATGTCTCGTTAACGTGCAGGTTTTTAAGGTTACTCATGTATACGATAGTGGGGTTTTTTTTCAACATTGCAATCTGGTAAAATAATGCCAATGGTAGAAAACAAAATTATTTTTCAGGAGCATACAAAATGTAGGGCACCCCAAGAAGTGGTCCTGTACCACTCAATGGTGGAATACAGGCATCATATTTGTTATTGGAAGTGCCCTGGAATCTGTTAGGCAGGTAATGATTCACTCCCATCTATGGTACAATAAATCGCCACAATTGGAGGTAAACGATTCAGTATAAATGTGTCTTATTTTTATTATCTTGCTAGTACTGTCTGGATTATTTTGTCTCATTATGACCATTAGGCTAAAGGTAATGTTTGCAAACAAGATGCCTATATCTTGCATAAACTTTTAATCATACCTCACACAAATAATAAACCATTGAAATATTTTTATCATTATATGCTCTAAATTGCCATCGATTGTTGGGCACACTTTGCCAACTGCACCGCCATGCACTGGAATGACAGTGACTTTGGAGTCCCTTGTGAGGAGGGTGCAGACCTCTTTGTCGTGAGCGATGAGCTGCGTCTTCACATGGCCTGACACCAGGTTCACACGACCTAGCACCTGGCCAGTCTCAAGCCCCCAGATGGTGCAAGTCGTGTCGATGCTGGATGTGCCTAAAAATAAAAGCCAGCAACAGTGCACGATTATTAAATGTGAGAAATTGCAGCTCAGAAACCTTTAAAAAAAACACTTTTGGTGAATTCAGCATATGCCATAATTGAAAAATCACTTAACAGTATTCAATAACTGGGTTGTACACATTATTTGGGGTACTTGAAAAATCAGAAGACCATGCCATACTGTGCAACAGTTTACTCTGACAAGGACTTATTTCATTAGGTCCGAACAGTGACTTCAAGTAATTTTTTTATACAACAAAGTACCATTTATGTTCTGTATTTACAAATAAAAATGAATAACCATACCAAGAAGATTTGGATCGACTTCATTCCAGTCAAAGGACGTCAAGGGTGCACAGAAGTCGGAGTTCTTGTTGTTGTTGAGCAGACACTCCAGCCGAGTCTCTGAGTCGCTCACCTAGGAACAAAGGCAGGTAGGCGTGGCAACATTGGCAGCTAAAGACGTCATTGCTCATTCCCTCACACGCTTGGCAGCACTTGAGAAAGATTGGCAAATTAAATGACCGCTGGTTAATGTGGCTTTGTAAGTAAAATATTATATTTATAGTTCACCATTAAGTTCACTCCACTGAGTTCAAGTTTAAAATGCTTAGTGTTAGAGATCATAGGTAGAGGGAAAAAAAGTGTCTGGTGTGGGTTGGATGGCTGGCCTAGGTGAGAAACTGTAATGATTGAGTGTTTGGGCTGGACAAGCTACTGGGATGTGTGAGCCTCGAGGTTATTTGGATAGAGGTTATGTAAATGGGCGGTCAGGATGAGTGATCGGTTAAGGTGTCAGCTGGTGTCTAAGTCAAGTAAGTGTCTATGCTCGAGTGTTCAACGTCCGAACTCAAATCAGTCCCCGAGTCCCATGGGAGTCATTGAATCATAGCCACCATCGCAAAAAAGACAGTGATCATGACTGAATGAGATAGGTGACAGAGCAAGGATGATCTTGGTGGAGAGCCTCAAGACACGTCTATGGAAACAACAGACCTCTGTTAATGAGATAATCTAAAAAGAGACATTACTCTTTTGGTGGAAGCACTTTAGAGAGACTAACAAGGACCTCAATGTAGACAATCAGTTAACAGACCTTGGTGGACAAGACCTTTGTGGATGAGACCTTACTGTGAGACCAAGAAAAATGTTGGTGGAATAGACTTGATGATCGAGACTGAGAGACCTGTGTTTGTTAAAGGGACATCGGTGGATGAGACCTCTGTGCATAAAACGATGCCTCACCCGCCACACACGCAGGTAGTCGCCGCTCGTTGCCACCAGATCCGGAAAGACGCCTTTGGTGTCGGGAATCCACATCACTTTTGTGGTGGGGTACGGGTGGTCGAAGGTGCTCTTGCACACAAACTCAGAGCTCTCTTCATCCAGCCCCACCACCTGCAAATTCATGCCCTTACATGACTCAATATTTCTGTTATTTCTAAGAGTAAATACTAAATGTGGACATTGTTATTTTGACAAAAATGACCCTCATACGTGGAATAATATTGCATCTCTTACGTAACAATTCCCTCGTCAGTTCTGTTAGACAAATGAGCATTTTTCTTGAACAATACTTTACACCTCATTTTACATATCATACTGGTAAATTATTACATTGTTGTTAAAACATAACACTGATTTGCTGTTTTACTTTGACTGCATAATATATTAAGTTTAAGTTTGTTTCTCTACCGGTTAGAATTTCAATTCTGAAATTTGCCGCGTTTTTCTACACTTGATCACATTTTACTATCTTAAAATGTTTTTACATTTGTAATTTGAGGCTGTGGCCCAAATTTAACTGTGGACTTGTCATTTGTTAATCCAGGTCAGCTCACAATACATGCATACAATTGGATTCGTAAAAATGGCTCATGACAGTTCGTGTCTCGTTATTCGGCAACTCAATAAACGGAACTTCGCTAAAACGTTACTTGTAAGTTATAGAAGGAATTAGATATACGTTGCATTAAATTTGCACTTACGGGATTTTGGATCTCTCATTTTGGGGGGAGGGTGATTTATGGCAATGCATCAGTTTGTGGAAATTACTGCACGGTATACATTTTTATTTTGCGACTTATCTTGAGCCCAGTATATTTTACCAAAAAATGATGGGTTTACCAGTGCATTTTTTTAAAGGTTTGCTGCATTCAGTATGATTTTATTATATCTTGGGGCCTTGCTTCATTCCATAGGAACGCATCTCGAATTCCGAACATCCCTCGATAATACGAGAACAGATACGTTCCTGAAAAGTTGCTCGTAAAAAAAAACTAAATTCTGTTTATCGAACCCTGACTATACAATACGTGATTTGTCACATGGCAAAATGATTCCGAAATACTTTGCAGGTGCGTATCTGTTCCGTTATGTCAAGGGATGTCAGTGTTCACATCAAGTATCACGGCTCTTGGTATGCTTGTCATCTGTAACAAAAAGAGCTTCATAGCTCATCGCATTTCTCCAGGATAAATATACCGATTCTGAAATTCCACTCATGAGTGTGTGAGTGTGTGAGCATGTGGGTGGACACCAAAGAGCACCAATAGAAAGCCAATTAAAATAATAGATTTCGATTAATATCGTCGGATGTATTCGGTTCACGTGATCCGCGAATCGTTCCACTGGGCTCTCTCCCTTTAACAAGAGCGTGTTTCAGCGGGCGCTCACCTGGTTATCGATGACACCCGGTGAAACCTGCGGTATTGCTTTTGCGAATTTGCTTTTGACTATCGGCGAGGGAGGTCGGTCATTCTCCTCGGCCCACGCCGTAGTCTGGAAACTCTCTCTGCCCGTGTGTTCCTAGTCCCAGGCTCAAGAGTTTCCTTGTTCCTCTGACCGACTGCCTCGACGTGGGCTACTTGCCCACTGTTTCTGTACAGCATCTTGGCGCCCTCTAAATCCACATTTCATTGTGTTGCTGATGAGATCCGGAAGAGCGAAACCTATACGGAGTTAGTGAGTAAACAATAGTTGCTGGGTGAAGACATGGGATGGCCCAACCTAGAAGGCCGACGAGCTAAACGATTTGGTTTTCACGCACAGACGGAGACTAAAAGCGCAGGTTGCGATGAATCGGTGGTCGCGAATAAAATCATCTCGCTCAGTCGCTCGGCCGCTCGACTGCCAAGCGGACGGTCGCATCTACAACCACCACCCATTCTCCCTCCCTCTCCGCACTCTACCAGCGCGGCGAAGTATGGTCAAACAAGCCGCGGGCCTTCAGCCAGCCGCGATGAGTCGACGGCAAAATGATGACGATAACGAAGGGCGCCCCCCCCCCCGACTCCTCTCCACCCACCTGCACTTTGTTGTTGTACTCCTCCACGAAGCTGCCGAGCGCCAGGCGAAAGCGCTTGTCGGGCCTGACGCTCCAGTTCATGGCGTAGACCGTCCATGGCGCCTCGTACTTGTAGATCTCCTTTCTCTTGCCGTGCATGCCGCTCATGGCGGAGGAGGAGGAGGCGGCGGAGGAGGAAGGCGGGAGACGCGCGCCCTGCCGCTACTCGCTGCCGGGGGGCCCGGCCGTGCACGACGCCAACGCAGCGCGAGCGAGCGAGCGAGGAGGACGGCGTTCTTCACGAGACGCACGGCGAACGCGTCCGGACAAAGGCGAGCTGTGCGGGTGGGTGGGGTGAGTGGGTGACAGACACAAAACAAAACAGAGAAGAAAGGAAAACCCCCTGCCCGGAGCGAGCGAGTGAGCGAGCGAACGCCACCAACACCGCCGCCTCGACCCCGCGGACTCGCTGCAAGTCCCCCCTAGGCCGCACTACATCCGGGTTACTGCAGCGCGCGGCGCGTCACAGGCCGTGGTCGCGGCCATCTTGCTCGGGGGAAGCTTTCCCTGGCGGCTTCAATGGAGGGGGAGGGGGTGGGGAAGGGGGTGGGAGGAGAGAGGGGGAGGGGTTAGGAGGGAATGGGGGGGGCGAGTGGGGAGGGCGAATGGGGTGGGGGGCGGGGCGAGTTGGGGGGGCGAGTGAGTGGGGGGCGGGGCGAATGGGGGGGGGTGCGAGTGGGGGGGGGGCGAGTGGGAGGGAGGGCGAATGGGGGGGGGGCGAATGGGGGGGGTGCGAGTGGGGGGGGGCGAGTGGGGGGAGGGGCGAGTGGGGGCGGGGCGAGTGGGGGGGGGGCGAGTGGGGGGGGGGGCGAGTGGGGGCGGGGCGAGTGGGGGCGGGGCGAGTGGGGGGGGGCGAGTGGGAGCGGGGCGAGTGGGGGGGGGGCAAGTGGGGGGGGGGGCGAGTGGGGGGGGGGCGAGTGGGGGGGGGGCGAGTGGGGGGGGGGGCGAGTGGGGGGGGGCGAGTGGGAGCGGGGCGAGTGGGGGGGGGGGCGAATGGGGGGGGTGCGAGTGGGGGGGGGGGCGAGTGGGGGGGGGGGCGAGTGGGGGGGGGGCGAGTGGGGGGGGGCGAGTGGGAGCGGGGCGAGTGGGGGGGAGGGCGAATGGGGGGGGTGCGAGTGGGGGGGGGGGCGAGTGGGGGGGGGGCGAGTGGGGGGGGGGGTGCCCCCGCCCGCGTTGTGAGGCGGCGTCGCGTCGCTGCTGAGTGACGCGGCGCGCTGTTGGGGCGCTCAGCCGGCCCCGGCCCAACATGGCGGAGTCGCTCGCCCCTCGTGCGCCTGCCCACTACGGCCCGGACAATAACCCCGCACCACCACCAGCACCACCCTGCACCACCAGCACCACCACCAGCACGCACCACCACCACCCTGCACCACCAGCACCCTGCACCAGCACGCACCACCACCAGCACGCACCACCACCCTGCACCACCATCAGCACCCTGCACCACCAGCACCCTGCACCACCAGCACCACCAGCACCCTGCACCACCAGCACCACCACCCTGCACCACCAGCACCACCAGCACCCTGCACCACCACCACCAGCACCCTGCACCACCAGCACCACCAGCACCCTGCACCACCACCACCAGCACCCTGCACCACCAGCACCACCAGCACCCTGCACCACCAGCACCACCTCCACCACCACCCCGCACTACCACCACGCACCCCCCCCTCCGCACCACCAACCTCCGCCTCCCTCGAAGTTACGCGATTCCCAATGCACTGCAAAGGTCACATTGACTACGGCGAACAAGGCTCGCGTCCCCTTGGAAAGGATCACTGGATTTTTTGTTAACTCCTTTGCCTGTGTGATAATAAAGACATGGATGTTGGTTTGAAGTTTGATTGCAGAAGTTGGGTTGGTAGTTGCAGTTTATTTTGTCCCTAAATGTGTTGCGGGTTATGGTATCGAAACTTCCCGCTCACTTTTAAAAGTTTTATAAAAATAGAATTATATCCTGTACACGGATCCAGTGTGTATGTTGTGTAGGCGAATGTGTCAGCATTTTCTTCTCATTCCAAAACTGCAACCTCATGGATCCAGAAAAGGTGGTGAAGGAAGGCGCAGCCCCGCAATTGCCCGCTCACCCCACTGCTGTGGGAAGGTCTCCACTGTAAGAGGGGTATTCTTAGGTTTTTTCGGTAAAGTCACGTAGGTAAAACATCAAAATTTATTAAAATAAAATAAAGATCACGACGTTTCGGATCTTTATTTTATTTTTATTAATTTTGATGTTTTACCTACGTGACTTTACCGAAAAAACCTAAGAATATGAGTCCTTGCAGTCACGAAAGCTTCAAATCTAGAATGTAAGAGGGGTTTCAGCCTCCTGCCCTCTTTAATGATGACCAAACATTTTGAAGCACGTGTGAGTACCCACACTTTACCCTCCCCTGTGGTTGTGCTCACGTACACTGCTGCTGGGTGGGCAGGGAGGGGGTGGGGGGCTGAGAAGCGACCTTCAGTTATGAGAGTGAAGTTGGAAGGCGCCCTCTGGGTTGCATTGTCCTTATCAATTAGCGTCGTGTGTTTTTGTTTGCATTTGACTGCAAGTATTGTGGTTAATGCAGACACGAAGCCTTGTAAAAAGGTGTCAGTTTTGTTGCCAGAAAAAAAGGGGAAAAACACGATTATTATATTTTGGTACTGGCAAAGGAGGTCCAATGATGAAGCGTCCAATAAGTTATGGGATGTGTATATTAGGTGCTATAGGCTGCTTGCGGGGCTACTTTGTGTGCCCCCCTCCTTCAGCCCCGACTGACCATCGTGGATTCTGGTCAAATAACCCTCACGACCCTGCACGGCGTGGGGAGGCCCTCATCCGACTCATTGTTCAAATCAGATCCTTCAGTCTCACTCATTGCTCGTGTGTCTGGATGGCCTGTAAACATCGCTTGACATTTTCACGTCATACTAATTCACCTTTGTTGCGGACGAAAAAAATTACCTTCGTTCTTTTCTCAGCCACTTAAGTTATATCGTTTATATTTGCCCATGGACCGAAAGTCTGTACTGTCTGGTATGGCTGCCATGTACTCGGGTGGATATCTGTGAGGTTTCAGAAGGCCACGTGTGGAATGAGACAGCTGTTTAGTCGGGCATCCGCCAGGCATGGCACAATGCCCGTCCCTGAAATTTCAATCTGGGATTAATTAATGCACGGTCAGTGTAGGTATTAATGAGAAGACCCTCCCGTTCCTGAAGTGGCCCAACAAGACGCATGTAAGGTTGCCATGGCCACCACGTTCCCACACATCACCGCTGGGTGTACATGTGAAGGTGGCAAGGGGCCTCTGTGCCAGCAGCAGCAGCAGCCATGGCTGTGGGTCCGCCAGGGACCTTGCCGCCCCGTGCGTGACTATTTTTAGCGACAGTGGGGACAGTGGGGACACGGTGTGCCGTAACATCATCTCCAGCTTTTAATACGCAGAGCGCACCGCTCTGGACACAAACCACAAGTCGCCATGATACCGCAACTGCTGTTTTCATTTTACAACAAACAGTAAACAAGCATGCAACGACATGTTGTGTCACCTAAAAATGCATTTAGCAATTTTAGTAATTCGTTAGCCTATCGGCTTTGTGGACCAATGTTTTCAAGCAGCTATTTAATAAAATCCCTGGACCAGTATTGATTCTATGAGTCACATCAGCGGTGTATGCCAGAGGTCGCAAATGGGTTTTGATTCCTTACCCGTTACCGGCCGCACCAGGGTCGCAAACAGGTACCCGTACCCGGCCGTACCCGTACCCTACCCCCGTACCCAGCCGGGTACGGGTATCGGGTACCTGTTTGGGACCTCTGGGATGAAGCCATGTTGCAGGCGCGGGTGGGTTGATTCTAGGAACTTGAATTGTGAGAGGAGACAAGACGTTGGGAAATGAGTGACAAACGGTTACTCACCAGTGACTCACGGTCTACCCGTACCCGGCCGGGTACGGGTAGCCGGGTATCGGGTAGGGTAAGGGTATCGGGTACCCGATTGCGGCCTCTGGTGTATGCTCATGTGTAACCACTTTGTCAATTGGATCGTTGGTGGGTTAAATATGACCATACGACACCGACGCTGATCAATGTGAGCGAAGTCGGAGGGAATGGGCGGTGCAAAGTTCAGCACAAGGGATTTGATACATTACCCACCTCTATCAAGGTAGCCCCACAGCAATCTGCAACACCTGCTTCATGCATGGGGGTTCGCACATCCAATCACGATCCAGGCTCAACCCTGCTTAGATTCCAAAATCTGGGGTCATTCCACGTGATTTGGCCATAGGCATAAGCTTACCGCTGTATTAGCAAATGCATAAGAACAATGCCATGTAAATGCATGGACTGTAACGTCTCAACACGGCTTGGAGGCATTGTCCGTTCCTTCGTTTCCATTTCGGGCTGGGCCCGAGCGGGTTATGTGGGTCACCAGGCGCTTGCCGGCGAACACCACCCCCAGGACTGGCTCCAGGGGGGTGTCCTGGTATACCTTGTCAGGGCGAGGTTCTCTGATTTTAATATTTACAAACCATTCATAGGGGGCGTTTGTTTGGACCGTTATTTGTCTGGAACCTCCCCTCAGACCTGTTCGTCCAGGGAGACCCTATCAGGAGTACAATACTCCAGGCGAGATAGCTCTGAGGGTCATTAGAACACACAAACTCCACCATCACGATAAGGTTACGATCCTTCGGTGGGGTTCACTTTGTCAAAGTATTTAACGTCAATTTTGCAGCAGATGGCGCTCTCTGATGATTCCATATAGAACGAAACGAAATTATGTTTTATTTTACCAGGTAAAGCCCACTGAGCTATGCGACCTGGCCACAAATAATTGCTCAACTAAGTGGCTTACAATGTGGATATTTCCAGCAGCCAATTACTCTATTCGCATGTTGATTCTAAATGTGCCTGGGAAAAAACGAACATTGGCAAGGATTGCTGCAGTTGAACCTTGTACTCTGCAAAATGGCTCGGAACGGCGAGCTTGTGAAATCGCCACAAGGTGACCCAGCCGCCGAATATTTGCGTATTTTAATTTAGTACTAACTAGGAAAGTTACGGGCAACATCTACCAGATTCGACAGTTTCGTTCGCAAGCTTGGCTCCAGTTCCTCTCGCATGGAGGGGCAGTTGACTTGTTTCTTGGGCCACCACAGCTGTGAACACAACGCTAAGGAGCACGAGGGCTCAGCGTGGCAATACCCCCCTACCACTGGCCCTGTTCGTTTATTTACGTTTTTATTACACAAGATCATAACATGGAAAGCGAACGTCGGGAAGGGGAAAATACCAAGCCACTAGCGAGAAACAAACCCGGGCCAGGTGGCCTCGGGGTAGGGATTTGCAAATGATGGCTGGGCTCACTGTCCTACTCCCTCGTACGGGCAACGATTGGGAACAACGTTTTTTGAAGGGAGGGGGGGATGAGGAGTGGTGGGGGGGAGAGATAATGTACCCAAACAGAACCATAAATAAGTACTGTTTTAAACAAACTTTTTTAAAAACACGCTTTAA